GGCCTAAGCCAGCACGTTGGTTGCAGGCACATCCCCAGTAGGGGGTTTGCAGGTAGCAGCTGATAGATGTTTCTAACTCTCTATCCACCTCCCTTCCTCTCTGTAAAAAATCAATAAAACATATTCTATAACATGATAAAATAATAAGAACTCCAAGGGCAGCAGTGGTTCCAATGTTTGATTGTCCTCCCATGTACAAAAAGGTTGCAATTCCTGGTGAGGCCACAAGACAGGTTCCTGGCTGGATGCCCAGATGGTGGGTAAGGGAGTGCAGGAGGCATCCCACCTGTGTTTTCCTCACTCCCTCTCATTTTCTCTCTCTCTAAAAATAAAATTTTAAAAAGTAACTATATATCCATTTAGATTTGTAGTCTTCAGGAATAATTGATATAATTTCAACTCAGGGATCATTCTGAGCTTCATGGAATCTGAAATAATATCTCCAAAAAGAGCTCAGTTGCAGACAACACTCCCCATAACCCTGCCACCAGCCACCAAAACCTATGGTTGTCATTTCCCACAGCCATTCGGGCGCCCCAAAACCAATATTCTCAATGGCCAGCCAGTGACTGGGATCCTAATGCAACCTGCGCCGCCTGGAAAGTACCTTACCCAAAGGGCAATGCGCCTAATGATGGCTGCGTTTAGCCAATGAAAGCCCAGGAGAGGCTCATGAGCCTGGCTCTCATTTGTTTGGGCTTGACTCCCAGATTAATCCTCCAGGTGGTCAGTTTCACCTCTTCGTTCTATCGACTTAGAGCTCCCAGCTGGCAGCATCAGGACTAGGACAAGCCGTCCGAGGTAGCGTCCACCTTGTGTAGGGAGTGTCTGGGGCTTGTTGACCTGTAGCAGGCGGGATTGAGGTCTCCATGCTTCCCAGACTCCTCTCTGCTTACTGAGGACAACTCAGCCTCACCCCATTTACCCTCCATCCTACCACGCTGTCAGGCCCTGCAGCTCGCGTCCCAGAACCCAGAACAGTGAGTAGCTTGTAGGTGACACAGCATGTGATGGGGTGAAAGAGGGTGACGGGCTGCAATGCCGCTCAGTCAGGCCGTGGGGCTGTGGCTGAGCTGTGAGGACTGTGGAAACCCAGGTCTGTTTTGTGTCTCAAGGCAACAAAGAAGATGAGGCAAAGTTTTGTGTGAGGAGTTTTACTTTCATCCTCAGGACGCTGGGGCCATGGGTGGTTGTGAACAGCAGAGGGACGTTGTCTGAGGTAGGGTTCTAAACATTTCCCCAAACTGCTGATGAGAACACATTAGAGGGAGAGGATAGTAGTGACGGATTGGATTAAGAAGTCCTTTGAAAGATAAGGAACTTGGCAAGACTGTGCACTGAGGACTGAGCCACGAGGCATCCTGGCATCACCCCCCCCGGGAGCTGGGCCAGGGCCCTGAGCAGCATGAGCCCATGGATCCTGGCAGTGGGTGCCAGGTCCTCATCAGACCTTTAGTTCCCTCTGGTTCCTGCAAATGCAGAGCCACGTAGGGGAACTGATTTGTGGAGGTGATTTCAGGACCTCACACTCTTGTGGCCTCTGAGTTAGTGGGGTCCTGCATCTGTCCAGCCTCTCTTCCTGCCCTGTGACCTGCAGACACTCAGCCCAGAATCCTAAGTCCATGACTCATGTTGTGTGAAGGGGTCCATGTTTTTCTGGAAAACAGTGGAATGAGATGTTGGATGTCTTTCTAGGAACAGGTTCCTGATGTGGCAGAGGCTCAGAGTGAAGACAGCTGGTTCTGGAACCTGTCCGAATGCTTTTCTCTTTAATGGGAACCGGTGAGAATGGGGGACGAGTCAGGTCTAGAGGAGCTTTGTGATGACATGGTTGTCTGTTTTGCAGGTGATGGCGGCAAAGGGAGAGTTGGAGTAGCGGAGGCAGGTGATCTGACTCAGGTCTCATTAGATGCCCTGTGGCTGGATCATGGAGAACAATATGGGTGCGAGGGAGGTGGTGTGATCTACTGGCAGAATGTGATGATACCTGGCCCCTGATGGTGCCCGTGGAGATGGAAGTTGTATCCGGGATTGGCATTTTAGGTATGGCTACCTGGATTTTCTAATTTTGAAGTTGAGAGAGAGAGAGAGGTAAGAGTCAGAGATGAGTAGAAAGTTTGTATTGAGCATCCGGGTATATGGAAGCACCATTATCGGGCATGAAGACATTCATAGTTGGAAGGTTCATGTTCATTGCCGATAAACACGAACAAACACTTATTTTGGCCTGTTAGGGTGTGAGATATTTCAGAGAGCAGTTAAAGAGCATCTGGAACTCAGAGGAGTTGTTCAAGATGAAGACGACTCAAATGGAGTGAAGACCTCTTGGACCGGAGAGCAGTTGAAAATCATTTTATTTTAATTGGAGGCTCTAGGTCAGTGATGGTGAACCTATTGAGCTCGGTGTGCATTTTGAAAAACCCTAATTTAAATCTGGTGCCATCTCACATATAGAAATTTTTAATATGTGCAAACATAGTAAAACAAAGATTTATATTTTTGATATTTATTTTACATGTTTAAATGCCATTTAACAAAGAAAAATTAACCAAAAAAATGAGTTTGCGTATCACCTCTGACACGCATGTCATAGGTTCGCCATCACTTCCCTAGGTAAATGGAAACAAGGTGAGATTGGGGCTGGTGCATATTTACTTATTAAACACTCACCAGGAATATTCTGTGAGCCTTGGTGTGGCCTGGGGTCACACTGACCTAGGGCCTCCAATTCAAATAAATTGAAAGCAATGAAAACAATTTTCTGCTTGGGGGTCACCACAACATAAGGAAATGTATAAAGGGTCGCGGCAGTAGGAAGGTTGAGAACCACTGGCTTAGGGGCATGAGTGTAAACAGTACTTCTTCAAAATAGACTCACCCAGGCCAAGAACCGAATTCTGCCAATGGGCCACGAAGTTTCAATCGCACCATACCTGCGCGCCCACACGTGGTATTTTGTGGAAGAGCCACACTCAAGGAGCCAAAGAGCCGCATGTGGCTCAAGAGCCATGGTTTGCCGACCACTGACCTAGGGCCTTCAATTAAAATAAATGAAAATACATCCTGCATATCAGATATTTACATTATGATTCATAACAGTAGCAAAATTACAGGTATGAAGTAGCAAGAAAATAATTTTATGGTTGGGGGTTCCCACAACATGAGGAACTGTATTAAATGGTCGCGGCATTAGGAAGATTGAGAACCACTTGCTTAGGGGCATGAGTGGCCATCTGTGAGATTCACTGAGCATGGGGTGAAGCATAGCAATCCCTCCTTTGGAAAACTGCTGTTTGAACCTGTCTGTGATTCTTAGACAATCTCTTATTCTGGAGGTCAACTCTGTTATTTTTAGGCTGTAAAATAACTTTGCTTTTTTGCTTGAATAGAAAAGATAAACTTAATTGTCTGATCTTGCAAGCTAGCCATCTAACTGATACACTGATATTGATGCCAGGTGCCTGTATAAATATGATACTCAAGGATACAGGTGCCTGTATAGATATGACAGGTGTTTGCTAGATATAATATGTACTCAAGGTTACATGCTGTCTACAAAAATAACTGACACAAGGGCCTAAGAAAGATATAAAAAGAGAATTATTCCTCCTTTGGGTGTCCCCAATTTGACAGATGTACTGTGCTCTGAACCTGCACCCAATAGAGATGACTCCTAACAGGCTCATTAAGGCATCTTTTCCAGCTGGGTGATTTTTTGATACAACAGGGGTGGAGGACCATCGGCCATGAGACTTGAGTGGTGAGGGCTGTGACTGGGGATGGGAGATCATGTGCAGCACTGGTGGAGGTGGGCTCTGGATATCTAAGACGTGATGTGGTTCTCAATAGGTGAGGTTGAAGGAAAACACAGTCAGGGAGTGAGGCCTTTATAGCAGGGCTCAAGGCTGCCTCCATGAGTGTGGACTCTCAGAGTTGGTGTAGAACTTATTCCTGTTTGAATTTGACAAGCAGTCACTACACCACGCCTGCTGAGTAATGAGCAGGAAGTCAAGGAGATGACTGTGGGGCTGTGGGTGTGGGAGTGCAGGTGAGAGAGAGGTGTGGGAGAAGGAGTGATGTGCCCTTGGAGAGGGAGAGTGAATTCATGGCCACAGGACACTATGTTGCAATAAGGGTGAATAAGGAGTGAGTCCATTTTTGGTGCTTACTTGCTGATATGATATATGATATGATATGAGGAATTTTAGTGTAATTGTCTGAAAATAGGGGTGTTATGGTCAGACCTGCCAGGTGCAGAGATGAGGTGTCACATAGATGCACACCTTCCTATGGTTGTCCAGAGCTGACATTGATCAATGAGAAGGAGATAGCATATACTGGTGTCAGCTGGTCTTGCATGTTTGCAGTGAATTGGGAAGGGAGATAGAAAGAGAGAGAAACACATTACAGATGCTGTGAATTAGACATTTGGAAGAGATGCTAAGTAGGAAATAAAGTGTTCTCAACACGGCAAATTTGTGTTGCCCTTGAAGATGTGCCCCCATAAATGAAGCTGTGTGAGAGAAGTGTGAGAATTATGTGGGCAGGTAGTGCAATGTGATGGCCTCAACACCATGGTGTCAGAGTCAGTAGGGTGAACAGGCGGTCATAGTTTTTCATGTCTCTGAAAGAGAATCCGGTTGATAACAAGAGTATTGCCTGACAAAATAACTGATAAATCATTCACATTTTCTTTATGGACAACATGTCTCTCTTCCCTATGTTGATGACACCCACTGTATTGACAAGAGGCAGTGTGGCCTACTCTGAGTCCCAGACCTCAGGTATCTTCTCTCTGCTCAACTGCCTTTATTGTTGTGGGAAGACACAGTAACAATAGGAATGTAAGGAGAGAGTGATTTTGATGGGCCGAACGCCTGTTGTCTTGTCTGATGAAGTGTGGAGGGAGCATACGAATGTGGAGGGTTGGAAGTATGAAGAAATTGAAAACCTAGGAGAAAAGCTAATCATGGCTTGAACTGTCCCCATTTTGACAGAATATGAACTTTGAGGACGTGGCCATTGACTTCTCTGAGGAGGAGTGGGGGCTCCTTGATGAGGCTCAGAGACTTCTCTACTGCAATGTGATGCTGGAAGTGTTTGCACTTGTCGCATCTGCTGGTAAGACCTTCACGTTTGTCCCTGTGTCCTGAAGTGTTGTCTACTCTTCCTTTTTTCTCCAAATGTAGCACTCACAACCTCACCATGCGCTCTAGTAATATCCCCCACTGTCCTTTCAAATGGGCTGTGGCTGCCAGGGGCGAGCTGTGTGGGGAATCCTGAGCTCTGGACTCCCCAGGCATCCCTTACACCCACTGCCTCAAAAATCCATGAAGTGTCTAGCAGTCAGGAGTCCTGCAATGAGCTTAATGGGACCCACTTTGAACTTTGTCTTCCTGGGAACGTGACTATGTCCTCATGGCTTCCACTACTACACCATTCATCTAGGTAAGGCTCTTTGTGACAGCCTGTGCCAGGTTATCGTCTTTACTTACATGAACCATAGCTGTACTTGTAATATCCTACCTCAATTGTTGTTTGTAATATTTCCTTCCCTGAATACTATTGCATTGCGAATTGCTCTGGGTTCGTGCTGGCTGCTCACCTCCCTTGTATTTCATTAATTCTCTGAATATTTAGGTTGTATATACTTATAGAGTAGAAGGTGCATAGAAAACCCTGTGTTCTCTCTCAGGGTGAACTGGGAATATGGTCTCTGATGAGGCCTGATCCTACTGAGTGGAAACTGGGGGAAGGTGTCACATGAGGGCTTCTTTCAGATCATACGAGGAACCCACTTGTGTCCAACCATATTTAGGTGCAGGTTCGTTTGTCCACACGTTATTTCTACATTTTATTTACTGTTATTGACATTTTGATCACTGATCATTTCATTTATGATTTCCTGGGTTTGGCGACCTTCATTTTTTTCACCTTGTAGCATCCTCTGTCCCTCAGCACTGCTGCCTGTGCAGTATTCTCCTACATGGACCTGCACATGTGTTATGAGGTGCACATATATGCTTAAGTAGTCCTCGAACCCCTGCTACTGAATTTTACTTGGAATAAAACATAAGCAACCTTCTGCACAGCTTGCCCATTTCACCAGCATATAAGCCCTGCTGAACACTTTTAGCAGAAGAAGGAGCTGACGATCCTTCTTCGATTCCATGTGGTGCTTGCCATTTTTGTGTCATATTTCTGGTGAGGGTTTCCTTGTTTTGTGATATTCTGAGTTCCAGAACTTCACAGGAGCCTTTTCCAAATCCTGCCAGCACATCTGTTGCATGGATCGCATGTATGATGTGTAACATATTTTTGTAATGGAACTTCCCTCATCACCGTAGTCCACATCCAGTTCCTCCTCATTTCTCTGTTTTCAGGTTGCTGTCATAAAACGGATGATGAGGAAGCCTGTTCTGAGCGCAGTCTATCTGTACAAGGAGAGTCACAGGTCAGGGCGTCTAAGACAGAGCCAGCAAACCAGAGGATCCATGTGTGTAAGCGGTGTTTCTCTGTGTTAAAAGACATTCTGCACCTGACTGAGTCACAGGCAGCGTACCTTGAGCAGAAAGCCTTCTTCAATGACACACGTGTGAGAGACTTCTGTTTCAGTGCAAACCCTCGCCAGCAACAGAGGGAAGCCAGTGGAGAGAAGCCCTGGAGAGACGCTGTGGACAGGGCCTCGTTTGTGACCAGGTTCAGCTTCTCCTTATCATGGCTGCCTTCATCCAGTAGGGAGGTTGGGGAAGACTTGCCAGCCATCTCAGAGCTTCTCCAGCCCCAGGCCCCTCTCAACACTGAGAAGCCACACAGTGGCAGTGAGATTTCTCAGAAACTTCTCAGTGGAAAAGGTCATAACCAGTGGCGTCAATGTGAAAATGCTGCCAGCCACAACGAGAAAGTTGTTCAACAGAGCTTCTGCCTTGGGGAAGTAAAATATGAATGTAACAAATATGGAAATATTTTTAGAGGAATCTCTAGCCTCATTCAACATAGAAAAGTTCACAGTGGAGAAAAGACATATAAGTGTAGTGATTGTGGGAAGGCCTTTGGATATAAGACTAACCTCAATAAACACCACAGAGTTCACACTGACGAAAAGCCCTATGTGTGTAGTGACTGTGGGAAGTCATTCAGGCAAATCTCTGCTCTTAATCGGCACCAGAGAGTTCACACTGGGGAAAAGCCATATGAGTGTACTGATTGCGATAAGACTTTCAGTCAAAGGAACAACCTCACTGACCACCAGAGGGTTCACACTGGGGAAAAGCCATATGAGTGTACTGATTGCGGTAAGACTTTCAGTCAAAGGAACAACCTCACTGACCACCAGAGGGTTCACACAGGAGAAAAACCTTATGAGTGCAGTGAATGTGGGAAATTTTTTAGATGCCGTGGTCACCTTTTTACCCATAGGAGAATTCACACTGGAGAAAAACCTTATGAGTGTAGTGAATGTGGGAAGTCCTTCAGAGAAAGGTGTACGCTTAGTAAACACCAGAGAGTTCACACTGGAGAAAAACCTTATGAGTGCAGTGAATGTGGGAAATCTTTTAGATGCCATGGTCACCTTTTTACCCATAGGAGAATTCACACTGGAGACAAACCTTATGAGTGTAGTGAATGTGGGAAGTCCTTCAGAGAAAGGTGTACCCTGACTAAGCACCAGAGAGTTCATACTGGAGAAAAACCTTATGAGTGCAGTGAGTGTGGGAAGTCCTTTAGACAAAGGTGTAACCTCACTGTACACCAGAGAATTCACACTGGAGAAAAACCTTATGAATGCAGTGAATGTGGGAAATCGTTTCGATGCCATGGTAACCTTTTTAACCACAAGAGAGTTCACACAGGAGAAAGGCCTCATGAGTGTAGTGAATGTGGGAAATCTTTTAGCCAAAAATCTAACCTCCTTAGACACCTGATTGTTCACAATGGAGAAAAGCTTTAAATGTGCACCGAATACTTTTTTTCTCATTGACAATAACAACACTTAAAAGGACCGTTTGATACACATTTAACAGAACATAAACCCCTTTTACCACAACATGCACTTGGCTAGATTCCTCATTAAATTTCAAGTAGAAGTGATGCTTTAGATAACTGCATGGCACTTGCTAAGCTGCTCAGGCCTACTACCCGATTGAAATCAGTGGGAGTATTCCTGGCTGAGGCGATTTCACCTCCACCACCTGGTTCACCTGAACAGGGTGCCTCAGTCACAACCCCTGTGTGGTCAGGGAAAAAGAATTATGTGTTCTCGCCTCGGCCTGAGCAAACTGTGATTACTCCAAGCTCCTGGCAGGATCTTCATTCCTTTCTGACTAGGAAATGGAGTTGATTGAGGGTTCATCCAGTGCACCCATCCTCAGCTAAGAAGAGCTACCTCTCTCAGGACATCACCTTATGCTGTGATGAATTGTTTCAGGTTCCAGTTCACCAACCTGCAAACCCATTGAATTTTCTAACACGTCTCGTATTATGATTTTTTTGTCCAGGTGCTTTTGCTCATGTACTAGTACCTTTCATTTTGTTGGTACTGTTCATTGCCTGGATTGATCTGAAAGCACACTTGGGATCTGTCCCCATGTCCAGGGGAACAGATATTGTGGGAATCCCCAACCTGCTGTGCTCCCGGAGGCAAAGCGTGGAGTCAGAAAATCACTTTGTCCCATATTCACTTGTAATGCAGTGCTGCCCAAGACCTCAAAGAAAGCCGGCATGACTTGGTGGTTCTCATTTGCAGCCTGGTGCTTCCTATGATTGCGGTCTGAGGTCATCCTGAAGATGGGGGTGGGGGGCTTTGTTGTGCTTCTGTGAACAATGTTAATTATATTCTCTGTTCACAGTGTGTATTACCTACTGTCAAGGTGCCCTGTGCCGTTATGAATGACATTTCATAGGCTGGTTTCGCTTATATTGAGACTCTGAGGGTTAGGTTGAACTACAACCGGTTCAGAAACCCTGTATTCATAGTGAATGGGAAAGAGTGCAGTGAATTAAGTGAATTGCGCCTCTTGTGAACGTTACCCACAAATGACCAAGGACTTGTGACTTGTGCCGTCATTGTGGACAGATGTCTTCAGTTCCTCCATCACTCTTTCCTGTGGGTAAAGTTATTTTTAGAGAATATAATCAAAACGGTCTGTTTCCTCTTATGGCCTCTCTATGGTGTTCAGCTCAAGATTTGCTCAACACGTGACACCTCAAAGCTAGAGGAATTGTAATCCTGTAGTCATTCCCAGGATGTGGCATTTGTGACCCAGTCAGCATTCCTGTTGATTCTGATGGCCATAGTCTTCCCTGCTTGCCAATATTTGCTGCCACTGAGGCAAGGCTGGTCCTCCCAGGAAATTAGGAGAGAGATGGTAGAGCCCATATAGGGTTGTCATTTTAATTTTCTAACAAGACAGGGATATCTAGGCCTTTATTTGGAAGCACATTTTAAGGTTTTATTTAGGTATATTTGTACTATTTGGTGAGCTGGGACATAGGGATCAAGCTCTGAAATGGTCACATGTGACATAAACTTATCTCTCACCCATTTACAGGTTAGGGCAGTACCAGGCATAGAGATGTGAATATGCAAAACACAGAGTTGACTGTCTATTTTTCTAAATAAGTATTTTACATATTTAACAATATTTTGAACAACTTTTCACAAACAGAGGAAAGGAGAGAGAGAGAGAGAGAGAGAGAGAGAGAGAGAGAGAGAGAGAGAAATGGTGCGATTAGGAAGAAACATCAAACAGCTGCCTCCTGCACATCACCTACAGGGCATCTAGGCAGGCACTTGCCTTCAGCTGGAATGGAACCAGTGACCTTCTAGGGCAACGGATGGTGCTCAAACACCTGACGATCACTGGCAGGGAAGAGTTTATTCTTTTTTTATTATTCTTAAATCATGGTAGTAATTTTCATGCCAACAGCTCTACACCTACTTGTGCCACACCCTGTAGTTACCTCCAGCTCTTTTGTAATCTCTCCTTCTGCCTTCCCCAGCCCTAAATGCAGTCATTGATTTTCCTTCGTTTACAAGATTAGTTAATATTTTATTAAGCTTTGTTAATATTTTTCCTAATTTCAGAAGCACTATAAGGGATATACAAATATTGCTTTCCTTCATGCTACACAGTATTTTGAGATTCAACACGAATGCTTATGTGATTAGTTAATTATTTTTTATGGCTGGGTCATACTGTGTTCTGTGAATAACCAGTTTACCTATTGATCTGTCTATGGTTTTAGTTGTTTCCAGGTTTGGGATATTAAAAATAAATCTGGGAATATTGCCTTCAGTTCTTTATATAGATGTATGTACTGCTTATCAAACTGATGCAGTGTAGGTGAATATTTTACCTGTTAGTATATGCAGAACTGTGGTAAAAAATGGTCATTCCCTTTGCCTTGCCACCCACCCACAGTAATGAAAATTCTAGTTTTTCCACAAACCTGCCAGCAAATGTGATGTTTAATCTTTTTAATAATAGGCCAAATAATGAATATAGTTTTAACTTGCTCTGTTTTAATTCCATTTCCCTAATAAATTTTTGTTGAACGTTTTTTCAAGCAAATCTTTACACTGTCTTTGTCTCCTTTGTTGAAATGTCTGGTCAGAATCTTTTGCCAATTTTTAAAATGAATTTATTATTTAACTAGTAGGTTAGTGTAGCATCGATGATGTATTTATTCATTTCACTCAATCCTCAATGACTCAACTGACTTCTTTTCAATGTGAAACTATATTTATATATATTTATAAAATATTGTTTTATTGATTTTAGAGAGGAAGAGAAAGGGATAGAGAGATAGAAACATCAATATTGAGAGAGAATCATTGGTTGCCTGCCTCCTGCACACCCCTACTGGTGATCAAACCCGTAACATAGGCATGTGCCTGGCTTGGAATCAATCCCAGGACCCTTCAGTCCCCAGGCTGAAGCTCTGTCCACTGAGTCAAACCGGTTTGGGATCAACCCCTTAATTCTTTTTATAATAAATATATTTTTATTAATTTCAAAGAGGAAAGGAGAGGTAGAGATAGAGATAGAAACATCAATGATGAGAGAGAATCTTTGATCAGCTGCCTCTTGCACGTCCCCTACTGGGTGTTGAGCCCACAACCTGTACATGTGCCTTTGACCGGAATCGAACCAGGAACCCTTCAGTTCACAGGGTGACGCTCTAGCCACTGAGCCAAACCAGCTAGGGCCCCTTAATTCTTTTTTAAAATTGTAATCCTCACCTGAGGATATTGCTTTGAGAGAGAGAGTAAGGGAGGGCACAGAGAAATAAAAGGAACATCCATGTGCAAGGAAACATGGACCTGTTGCCTTCCAGAAGTGCCGGAGAGCAGATCAACCCACAACCTAGGTCTGTGCCCTCACGAGGAACCCAACATGCCCTTTGATTGAATGGAGCAAATGAAATGAAGCTGCAAGAGATTGAGCTGCCTGGCCAGGGCAGCACCTTTAATCTTCACGTTTCCTTCAAGACCTTGAATTAGTATGACTCAGCATTTGGGGGAGTGTTTTGCATGTTGCCTATTGGTTATATGTGTGAATTGGCTGTCCCTTTGGGTGTTCCTGATGTGTTTATTGTGTTCTCTTTGTGTCTGTGTTCTATGACCTTGTATGTCTGCTCTGGTGTGTTCGCATGTGTTTGCATTGTGTGTGTGAGTCTGTGTGTGTGTGTTCTCCTGAAGGTGTTACCTGTGTCTGCAGTGTGTGTCTATGTGAGCCTGGCCGTGAGCCCTGCACCTGAGTGCCCAGCTGTGGCAGGGGGGGTCCTGTACCTGCGTGTTTCTGTGCTTGTGGTGTCGGTATGTTTCCCTGTGAGTCTGTGCACCCCAGACACAGGCAGCTGCCTAGGCAGTCTCTGGAGCGGTCAGGAAGGGGACCCTTCTGTCCCTGCTCTCCCAGCCTCTGCTGTCCCCCAGGGTTCCCCTCTCAGGCCTCAGGGATGGATGAAGTGAAAGATCAGTTCATAGAACCCCAGGCTGTGGGAAGGGGAGGAATTAGGGAAGATTCTGATGGCAGACTGGAGTTAGAGAGTGTGCATGGGGCCTAAACCGGTTTGGCTCAGTGGATAGAGCGTCGGCCTGCGGACTGAAGGGTCACAGGTTCGATACCGGTCAAGGGCATGTACCTGGGTTGCGGGCACATCCCCAGTGGGAGATGTGCAGGAGGCGGCTGATCGATGTTTCTCTCTCATCGATGTTTCTAACTATCTCTCTCCCTTCCTCTCTGTAAAAAATCAATAAAATATATTTAAAAAAAACACTAAAAAAAAAAAAGAGTGTACATGGGGAGTGTTTGTGAAGGACACTAGGCTTCGTGGAGGATCCAGGTCCCTTGGGAAGGAATGAGTGGGTGGGTGCATGTGGGGGGAGCTGAGGGGAAAGTCTTCGAGGCTCTTAACCCCCCACTAGGAATGAGGAAGTGGATGTCCCTGGAGAGGGGTGTCCCTTGCCCATGTGAAAGCGAGCCTGACCCCTAAGGTAGGAAGGTGCCCGGGTCTACTCAGAGCATCACTCCTAGACCGCTGGATCCTGGTCCACTGGGAGTGCGTGGCCACACAGGACACTGGGGCCAGGAGGGAGAGTTAGGTCTAGGACTCTCTACAATAGGAATAGGGAGAACTGTGGAGGGACCGCATTCAGCACAGGTTCCTGCACAGAATGAATGGAAACCACAGGGTCACCACTCATGTTTCCGGCAGCATTTTCACCATCAGCCCCACCTGCTGGGGCCCTCACCTGGGCAACGCAAATGACACAGGGCCTTGGAGGCAGGGAGGGCCTGATGTTCATGTAAAAGCACGTGGTGCTGGAGGCTTCCAGCCTGTGCCCTTCCCAGTCAACACCCTTAACTTGTGAGTCTTCACCTCCACCCGAGTGTGGGACCCGAGGCAGCCAGGGGTTTACCCAGGTCACACTCAGAAGTGGGTTGT